CTTCCACAAAGCCAAATCACACAACACCTCGGAGTGTCAAACACTTCAGTCAGCTGAAAAAGGTCAAAGGAAGAAGGGAAAGGAAAGACACAAGGATAAAGGAGAAGAGAAGGAAAAGGCAAATACAGCGGAGCAATCATCCGGATCTGACTCCAAGGAGGAACAGAGTCATATTGCATTGGAACATGTACATATTTCCAAGCCCCTTGCTAAACGCATTCAAGCTTACCTTGTGTCAGAACCCGATAAGACCAAAACAACAATTATTATTAACTCCGGAGCAACATCCCACATGGTCCCTCACCGCTCCTGGTTTGAGCTAGGAACATACCATGTTCTGCATCCTCCAAGGACAATCAGTTTTGGGGATGAATCCTCTGTAAATGCCATTGGCATTGGAACAGTAATCCTACAAGTAACTGTTGGCAATAAGGACTACAATATTGCACTGTCAAATGTCTTACTTGTGCCAAACTTCACTTTAGCACTCGTCTCTGTCCACAAATTGTCCAAAACAGGGTTATCAACACTTTTTCCAGCAGGGTCAAATGCTTGTGAAGTTCGGAAAAAGGAGGAACTTATCTTCACTGCGTTACACAAGTGAGGACTTTATCACATCCAAGCAAAACCCGAAATCAACCCGGAGTCAGCTTTTGCAGCAGTAGATGTAAATTTATTGCACAGGAGAATGGGACACATTGGAATGGACCGCTTGCAACGAATGGTTACAAAAGGACAGCTCCAGGACATAGACACCCTTACCGGAACCCCGGAGTTTTGTGAACCTTGTGCTTTAGGAAAGATGAAGAAATTACCTTTCAAGTTCACTGGAGGAAACCGAGCCAAGCGCCCCATACAAATTGTGCACACAGATGTTGGAGTACCAATCAAACCAACTTCCAGGGAGGGTTTCCAGTACTGGATTATCATTGTAGATGATTTCTCCAAATTTCCATGGATATATTTCCTAAAACATAAAAGTGAAGCACTGGAACGATACAAGCAATGGAAAGAAGATGTCCAAACATTCTTCCGGACTCATTTGGGAGAAGAAAACTTCACTCCACTATACACAGAATTCCTCTGGAGCGATGGGGGAGGAGAATATACTGGCAATGCAGTCAAAAATCAACTCCAAGGAGATGGTGTCATCCAAGAAACTACAGCTGCAGATACTCCGGAACAAAATGGCATTGCAGAACGCATGAATCAGACATTGGCTACATTAGCAACCACTATGCTCCATGATTCCAAGCTCCCAAAGTCATTTTGGGTAGATGCCATGCAAACAGCTGCATATATCACAGCACACAGCCCAGCATCAGGACTCCATGGAAAGACCCCATATGAAATACTGTTTAAAAGGAGAGTTGATCTAACTTTATTTCGCCCTTTCGGATGCCAAGCATATGCCTTGATTCCGAAAGACAAAAGGCAAGGGAAGTTTTACTCCAAGGGGCGCAAAGCCATAATGATTGGCTACACACATGGAAAGCAAGCCTACAAACTCCTAGACACTGAAAAACGGACTGTGTTTTCCAGTCGGCATGTCATATTCAATGAATCCGGAAAGGTACAAAAGGATGACACTGCTCCCTGGAACACAGACACTAGCACAGATCAGTGGGAGGGACTCATTCCAGAGAATGCTCACTATCCAGACCAAAAAACATTGGAGGAGGATGATCCTGACCAAGATCCAAATGAATTGCAAATGGAACCACATCTCCAAGGAGATGTTCCACAAGCAATGGAACCATATCAGCATGAAGATGTTCCGAGAGCAGTGGGGCAATACCTCCGTGGAGACGTTCCGAGAGCAGTGGGAGCACCTGATCAGCTAAGACACCCTCCACAACAGTCTCTACAACCAAGACCTGAACACTGGCCATCTTCAGAACGGAAAGCCAAAGTAGAGTTACAGTCAGTGGGAGGACAGCCCCTCAACATACAGTCAGCTGATGTGGAAAAAGTCCGAATACAGCTAGACAGCCTGTCCATTGGATCAGCTTCTGGAAGGCATACAATACCTCCAAGGAGTCATCCAACACCTCCAAGGAGTGATTCAACACCTTCAGGAGTGAGTGGGGCAACAAATACACAAATGTGTCTACTCCCTGGAGTACCTGCACAAGTTCCTAAAAAGAGCAGTCATGCCTGCTGAAGTCCTAGGAGTACGCAGAAGCAGTCGCCAGACCCGTCCTGCAGACAAAAACCGAGATTATCAAAGGACTCTAGATGAGGAACGTCTCTAAAAGAGCAGCATGACAACTCCATGGAGAAACCTAACACTCCTGAAGTTCATGAAGAAACATCTGATACAGAGGAGACATTCTTTGCTGGAATAGCAAGTACTGGTCCATCTAACACAGACCTTTCAAGGACACTAAAGGAAGCCTTATCACGTCCGGATGGAGAATTATGGAAGTCTGCCTTGGAGGAGGAACTCCTAAGTCTCAATACTAATGCAGTATATGACACTGTTCCACTTCCGAAGGGAGTAAAACCCATCACATCAAAACCTGTGTTCCGGATCAAGTTTGATCAAAACGGAAACATTGAGAGATACAAACTCCGGATTGTTGCACAAGGTTTTACTCAAAGGGAGGGGATTGATTACCAGGAGGTTTTTGCTCCGGTTGCAAACTTAGAGTCAATCCGAATTATTCTAGCCCTGACAGCAAAGTACGACCTAGAACTTGATCAAATGGACGTATCCACAGCTTATCTCAATGGAGAACTTGAAGAAGAACTGTACATGCTTCCTCCAGGGGGTGTTCCTATCTAACCTGGATACTGCTGGAGATTGAAGAAATCCATCTACGGGTTAAAACAAGCTGGTCGTACATGGAACAAAACTTTTGATCGCAAGCTCCAGGAGCTCGGTTTCACAAGACTAAATGCAGAAACATGTCTTTATGTATTCCGGGACAACAAACAAATATACTTTGTTGTTGTCTATGTAGATGACCTCCTCCTAGGAGCTTTATCCCGGAAATTCATGGATATCACAAAAGCCAAACTCGAATCCATATTCAAATTGCGGGACCTTGGAGAAGCAAAATACATCCTCGGAATAGAAATCCAACGTGATTGTTCAAACAAAACAATATCCCTATTGCAACGCCAATACATTAACACAGTCCTGGAGCGTACTGAAATGAAGAACTGCAAACCAGTATGGACACCAATGACCCATGGATCAAAACTCCTTGCAAATGCTCCAGGGGAAGATATTGTGCAACACGAGATGCATATTGAAGGGCGTCAAGTGTCATACCTCTCAATTATAGGCTCCCTCATGTATGCCATGCTTGGAACCCGCCCAGACATTTCCTACGTTGTTGGAATACTAAGCAGGCATAGCTCAGCTCCAAGGAGCCATCACTGGGAAGCTGCAAAATGTGTCCTCCGATATCTGAAAGCAACCAGGGACATGGAACTACGATATGATGGCACAGATGTCTCCATGGACATGGATTTCTATGGATATTCAGATGCAGATTGGTCTGGAGACCCAGACACGTCTCGATCAACATCAGGGTTTGTCTTTATCACCATCCGAGGAGCAATCTCCTGGACAAGCAAAAGACAAAGCATGGTCGCTTTATCCTCCACAGAGTCAGAGTACATTGGATTGAGCAATGCTGGACAACACCTTGCATGGCTTCGGACATTTTTTGAAGAAATTGGACATGCTCAAAATGGACCTACAACATTGCACTGTGACAATCAAGCAGCTATCATTCTTACACGAGATCCACAGTTCCGTGCTCGCACAAAACACATTTTACGGAAATATCATTTTATCCGAGATGACTTAGTATCAAAGGGAGAGGCAGTAATCAGATATGTTCCTACAGGAGATATGGTTGCAGACGTTCTCACTAAACCCCTCACTCATGAAAAACACTGGAAATTCTCTAAAGCTATGGGAGGAAGAAGAGGCAGTAGAGTATGAAAATGTACAAGCACTATAAGTGACAAAACTGGATAAACCCGGTCTCTGCTAAAGCAGCCACCACTCCATGGAGTAACCATTGTTCTCCTAGGAGCGCAATTGTACTCCTAGGAGTCATTATACTGTAGCGAGTAGCACCTCCAACTATAAGTAGTAGGGGGCTTAGTATAGGAATACCTCAGTCGTTTCTATAGCCTCTCGGGCAGCAGCTGAGGTATGTTACATTACATTTATTAGAGATCACCTTAACATCTATTGTAGTTTCACTTAGGTAAATAATAAAGTTGTTTCTATAGCCTCTCAGGCAGCGGCTGTGTTTCACTTAGATTTATTAATAAGGACTTGAGTGAATAATTGACTATGCAGTTAACAGTCTCATAATACATGTGGTTGTAATGTATGAATCTCATATTGCATAGCTTTTGGCTGGAACCACCATAGTGTGCAGGAGATATACAACAAATGACCAATTTTGCATATATATAGACTAATCATGAGTAGCACCAGGTTAGTGTTACAACTAGAGTTTTAATACTCTAGCACATAGCCCAATCAGTCTGTCTGTTGTTTATAAATAAATGTAAATATTGCTTCAAATCCCGGTTGAGCCATTCATGTTTCTGGCAATGGGTTGACCAGACAAAGTCTTTAAATAGATCTGCCATTCTCACAGCAGTAGATGGTTTTGGTAGTGGGTATGAATACCACTTCTTTGGAGAACAGGTCCACTTCTACCATAACAAAATCATACCTGTTTGACTCAGACAAATCTGTAGTGAAATCAACCAAATTCACATAGTATAGTAATAACTTTTTGTCTTAGAAAGGGTATTATTGTGCCCATCCTGGACAATCTGGCTGGGTGAGAGGATGCTTGTCCTAGACAACCCAGCTGGGTAAGAGGACACCTGTACTTAGAACACAGTAAATAGACACTATTATATGACATTATAACTAATTATCCATGAACTGAACAAAATACCTTTGTTGAATAGCTGGCTATCTAATTACACTTACTTTACATAATTACAAGTGTCCATTTTTCCTGATGAAAGTGGAGGTTGATATTCAGATTAAGTACACAGTTCCATGTGCACAAGTAAACTAGTGAGGTATTGTATGATACTACAATCATAGGTAGGAGAAATCATGTGGAGGTCAGGTATGGAGTAGGGCCTGGGCTAGAATTGCTGGATTAGAGACCAATGTATTGCATGCGCTGAGGAACAAGCAGTGCTGAACAGCAGAGCACAAATGAATTCAGTCCAGGATGATGAGAATCACAGTGGATGAGTAGTAAAGACAGTGATGGGATTGAAAGCTCAAGTAGTCATGTGGAACAATGATAAAGTGTTAGTAGAGTTGGTGGCATTGGTACCTAATTGATTTTGATGCATTGGACACCAAGGCTATAATGATAAATCCCTTTTATCGAGGATATACTCTTCCATGGTGGTTACTCTAAACTTCTCTAGGGGTAGCTCCAGTGTACCTGCTAGCACCTGAAGCCGTTTCTATCATTGCCGGGGTAGAATTCGTTGCTGATTCGGATGCTATCGTGGATTCATACATTCGTCTTCTGTGTGCACGAGGGTTGAGGATCAAGGCAGAAATGATAACCAGACCATCCATAACCTGTAGAATCAGATGTCAGTGCTCTCTAACATGATGTACTATAGAAGGAGTTGCTCACGATAACAACAGAGTACGTGACACCTGCGATAACATCGAAATTTGACTTGAAGACAAGTGAAAGGTCGGAAAATACACCTCCTAAAAGGTCGATGGCCATGAACATAGTTGATATTCCAATGACCTCTCTATGTTTGTAGATCTCGTAGTATTGAGGACTGGTAATACCTGATAAGCACAATCGTCGGATAGATGGGTATACAGTCACTTACAGTAAAGCGAGCGCAATGATGACGGCACTGAATATGCCGAAGAACCGCAACGCAGCATCGTTTCCTGTACCATCATGGTAAACGGACTGCAATAAGTAGGAGGACGAAATCAGTAACTGCAACTCCAGAAACATCTGCCAGGCTCACCCTAACTGCAAAAACCATACCAGTTTGGAAACCTGCCATAATAGCGGCAACAGCCACGAATAACATAATGCACACCGTACGCGAGCATTTACGGTTGTAATACAAACACTGAATATGGACAGACGATCAATTGGTATATCAACTATGAACTTGCGAGATGGGTTAACACAGAATATAGACGTACTTGGCACCAAGAGACAAGAGAGAGAGCACTAAATAGTTGAGGTTGTAGTATAAGAGGGATGTTGAGGTTCTGCACGATAACATAGACTCCCAAAAAAGGGCCAGATACGGCCCAAAGAAAGCTATAAGGTTCGACATCAGCGACGTTTGCAAAAGCTGTGACTGTTGCAATGCAGACGCTACTTACACAAACAAAGGTGATAAGCCTTCCGCAGACTTGCTCCTATACGTCTTCCATATCTGAGGTATGAGCTGAATGGTCCAACAAACCGTGCCTGCAGCAGAAAAGAACACACCAAACTTTCGTCAGCGCATCGTTCAAGCAACATTTTACTTGAAAATAATATAAAGGAATCTGAAGATGAGGGGTAACGGCGAGGACGACCGAGTCAAAATGAAAGACTCAAAATAACTCACCCAGGGTTCCAAACACATTCTCTGCAACTGAAGAAACGACCATGGTGCTCGCCGTTAAGAATGATGACGAGCTCGAGCTACCGACGATAAAGCGTGCTGAAGAAGGTGGGTCCAGAGTACTTGTATTAAAACCCGAAGGTCCGATACAGCATTTTTATGAGTTATTTGTGAGTCGGCCACAAAATGCCCGCATCCGAGGATTTGCTCTGAGATTCTTTGCGTCCGACAACACGTAAAACAAAATCAGCTGGTCTAGGCTGAAACCTAGATATTACGACAATGACGGTAGCAGAATGGAGTTTGCAGAGAGCTTTTTTCCGATTCTTGCACGACTCTGGGAGACATATCACTGCATCTGGCATTCGTTCCTCCGTGGCTCCGCTAAGATTCCCACCGAACAACCTGTCAGTGATCAGTGTGCAGTAGCACCGGGCGATTATCGTTTCATGGCAGCTAGACAACTCTTACTGTAATTACAGCACTTGACACACAGAGTCACGTACTCTCCCTGCACGAGACTAAAAAAACGATGGAGTTACATGCTTATTTGTACAAATGGTAACTGCTATGAGTCAATAGACTATAATGTCGAGCGAAATGAACTCGAGCCTGAGCCCGAAGAAAAAGCACACCATCGGGATTAGAGGGGTTCTAATGTCATTCTTCAATCGCATACTCGTCTTCGTCTTCGAAGTATTCATCATCGTCTTCTTCGCCTTCGTCCATCGACTCTTTGAGCTATGCCAAAGTATGGTAAGAATGGATGCCATAAATTATCATAGTAGGCGACGTACCATCTCCAAGAGTTCATGACATTCATTCAGGTGGGCCATAACAATTCCCTGTCCTTCCGGTATACTACCGTCTACCCCAACAAACTTCCCTTCTTTACGCATAGAATCAATCTGATGCAGAGCAAGTTGATACTGCGGAGAAAAGAAGAAGTTATCAATTGCTTGTTTACTCAGCTTCTCGGAATCGTTACTAACCGGGTAAAGATCACGGGGACTGAATGGGCCGCCATATTTGAGTACCTCGTTCAAACATTTCTTTACAGTTGACAGTTTATTTGCCTGCCAGAAACTATCAGCAATGAGCCAACTCCGACACAATTTTCAATACACACCACCGGCATGAGCTCTTCCGAAACAGGCTCACTGGATGATAGCAGTCGATAAATAAGACCGTAACATCGTCTCAGAAGGTAGAGCAGAACCTGAGAGCACGGATCAATCATTTGATCTCATTCGTGTGAAAAGTACCTACATATTGTCCTGGCGGACGATTGCCTTCCGAGTCCACGAACTTTCCATCAATTCTCATCTTGTCAATTTCTTGTAAGCTTAGAGAATAATTCCACAAATCTGTCTCTCTGAGACTCCAACGATGGGTGAGGACCAAATTCTCCAGCTCTGCTCGAATTCCGCTCAGACGGTCATAGATTGCCTTCAAAGAAAATGCTACGTTCTTGGATTCTTCTTGCGCTTTGATCTCTTGTAGGATATCAAAGCACTCCTCCAAAAGTGATGAACAAAGAGCCTGTGAAGCCGGTACGATGCCTCCGGGACCCAAAAATTTGCCGTCAACGCGTTTACTATAGCACCATCGCGTCCAGACGGTGGTGGAAAAAAGCATGGTCAGCATTTGTTTGATTTAGCATTACCCTAGTAAATAAGGGTAACAGACTTCATGAGCAGAATTTGTACTCAACGAATCTATCTTGCGGAGTTCTTCGTGCAGCGGCTTGAGTTCAGCTTTGTGGGAACCCTCCTTTGCAGCAAGAGCAACAAGTTGACGTCGAACTGTGACTAGACGCTCGTGAATGGGAATGAGTTCGACCGAGAGCACAGATAGCGACTCTTGTAGTGACTCCACGATAGCATCTATGAGCAGACGGTATAATGTGAGACAGATATTGAACTGTTAGTTGACTATGAATGAAATCCGATATGAAGTTACATACCGCATTCGTTGAACTGGCGCTCGAGAAGTTTAGTCATTGCTTCCGGGTGCTTACCGCTCTCGGCATCATGCTGGACTATTTGTCGAAGCTCGTGCAATCGCCGATGAAACGGGGCAAGATCCGACTCGTTGTATACAGCAGATTCATTCATATGATTGAGGATTTGCTGAGTGAAAAGGCATCGACGTCAGTAGTCTGAGCAACTGGAAGGTGAGCATGGAAGAGCGAGTAGTGGAGTCATAGATCAAACCGGGCGGATGTTTACGCCTCTGGCAATAAGTGCGCGTGTGCACATGCCTGAATTATGAAGAGCGCGACGCAAAGCATCGCAAACAGATGCAGAATTAAAGCGTAGAAACTGACCCGCATTGAAGCTATTTGGGAATACACCGCAGGACATTCCTTTGTACGTCCCAAGGTGAGGTAACATAACGATAGGAGGCTGAATACATCAGCTAAAGTTGTATCAACACGATTGTTGTATGTAGTGTTGTCGTCTCGAACGTCATTTAACTTTGTCACTGCATACCAGATTATAAGTATACTGCCACGGGCCGGGAGGGAGAGAACAAGACCTTGTTTGACGACAGCCTGGTAAAGGGCATTGACATCAGATGGCTTGATATATTCACCACGGTCTCTTTTCAATGCGGTGAGGCGATTTCGAATGCTGAAAGGCAAAGGGTTGAGCGGGCTGGCTGATGCTGGAGATGCATGCGGCACTTACTTGATGACAGCCTCGAGGATGGGAAGCTCTGTGTTATAAAAGCACAATGAGATGCAATGCAGCCAGACAAAAGGCTGGACGAACCTTCCTGAGCTACAGGTGCAGCCATGAGTATGTCCTGCGTTTATCGTTTGGGTCCAAGACGCTGACTCCTCTGAAAGGACCCTTGCCGCGGGCCGAACATACGACTACACCGGTCAAAAAAGGTGATTTAACACTCTATTTTCTCACGGGTGTTATATTATTTAATACTCAGTATTTATTCAATCTCAGGTTACCCTACACCAACCGCGATCAGTGCTTCAACTGTACATCCAACAACAACCATGGAGAAAATCAAGGAGGTTGGCACACGCACACGCCGCTCTTTCTCGTGCTAACAACGCCTCTATATCTAGAAACTTAGCGCGTTGCGTGCTGAAGCTGACAATGCTGTCACCCGAGCTGAGGATGCGGAAGCCAAGAACAAGAAATACGAACAACAGATCTTGGAGAAAGATCAAGAGATAACATCCCTCCAACACAAAGTCTCTGTTCTGGAATCTGACCTTGACAAATCTGAGGCTAAACTAGCTGAAGCCAAGACAGCACAAGAGGAGGGTGAACACTCCAAGACGACAAACGATGGTTTGACAAGGAAGATCCAGCTTCTGGAGGAGGAGTTGGATGCTGCGGAGAAGAACGTAAAGGAAACAATGGAGAAGTGAGTTTAAGCTCCGTTCAACTTGGTTCATGGCTAACAAGGTTTTGTCAGACTACGACAGGTTGATGTCAAGGCTGAGCATTTCGAACGTCAAGTTCAGCGCATCGAGCAGGAGCGTGACGAGTGGGAGAAGAAGTACGAGGTACGTATCTATCCTTAGGCTCGCCATAGTCCGATATAATGGCTCAACCACGTCACATTTCATAGGAAATGCAAGGGAAATACAAGGAGTCGAAGGCAGAGCTGGACGACCTGGTTCAGAATATGGAGGGACTGTGATAATGCGTGGCATCATTGTCGTTCTCCGCTCCAAGCCTGCCACCGGTATTTTGACATTGTTACGACGAGACAGTCAGAGTTGGCTGTTACGATCTCTTTGTTTTTTCTCCATCTAGTCTTCACCTTACACTACTCGCGGTCAACCAATGAGATAGGCAGGCAATTGTGGAATGACGCCTTTTGTATAAAACATAATACCTGAGAAATTGACATTAAACCCAATTGTCTTCTAACACATTTAGTGATAACTAAGCTCAAAGAACGTACTGCAGTGTGCAGGACATAGGCTGGCTTCAAACGTCTCACTGGTATATTCTGTCTCAGCGCCACAATGATTGCGTTGATTCATGAGTGTCGTAAGGATACAAGCTAGCAATGCAGAACAGGCTACCATATAGCAAACTATACGTGTGTGCATACATGATTAAGCTGCATCCTTGGTTGCTCAATGTTTGTCACCTCCAGAATCTGAGAAACTAAGTGATATTGAATTGACACAATGACGTTCGTCAGCTGCAAGTCTCCATCAATACAGGTGGTGCATATAATCTGAAGGGCAAACATACTGGGGGTATCGAATCCCTCGCCCTTGAAAACATGGCCAAGGTGTCCTCCACAAGCAGCACAGGTGATCTCGGTTCGGGCCATGAAGAAGAGACTATTATCCTCGTGTCTATTCACAGCCCCAGGAATGGCTGAATACATCATGAGCCACTGATTTGCATAAATAACACTGTTCTCACCATCAAAGAATGCGGGCCAACCACATCCACTACTGAACTTGGTCGTGCTCTTGTATAGGGGTGTCTCGCAAGCAGCACATGCATAAACACCATCTGCTTTGTGCTTATCGTATATCCCTGAACCTTGTGCCTCTGTACCTTTTCTACGGAGCACCCTGAACTAAAGAGTTGCAGGCAGTTATACATACATATGCGTCTGAAGATGGCTGTCCACCCAAATCATGACGAACCTGTTCGGGGGAAAGGATGGTGCGCCATTCCGAGTCCGGTTTCGATTTGTCTGACGACATATTCCTTGATAACAGTGTGCGCGTGTCCAACGAAGAAGCAATGTACTGGAATTTGTGCAATGATGGGGTGAGCCCTCTGATTTGTGAGCGGAAGATCCGAGTCAAAGGCATGGCAATCGCCTTACTAACGACACCGTATATAAGGTTTACATAACGATAACGATAAGAATTGTCCATAATCAGATAAGATTGGAGCACGGCAAGTAAATAATCTACCCGATCCCCTTTTTTGATTTGCCCTTGGCCCCTAGTGTCTCCCCAGTCACACCAAATCATGATAGGACAGTCGATATCAGTAGTTACTAGGCCCCATACGAACGTGAAAATTTCAACAGAAATTATGGAGATAACTGTCAGTGTCATGGGGGCTCCGATTTTACTACTTATCACCATGGCACGCAGAACTTCGGGTGGGATTTTCCCGTGCGTTCTATCACTTACCGCTTCCTTGTTATCCTATCATCTTTATCATGGCTCCCACTGCTACAGCAACCACTGAGGCCAACAACAAATCCAAGGCTGTCAACTTGAAGCCTAGTACTACTGCCATCTTGCATCGAATGCAGGGGAGACCGCCCATCGCTGTTTCTGGCGAAGGGCTGTACCTGCAGCTCGAAAGTGGCCAGAAGGTCATCGATGGCATAGGCGGTGCCGCTGTGACTTGTCTTGGTACAAGTCATCCAAAGGTGATCAAGGCGATGAAGGAACAGTTGGATACTTTACAGTGTCAGTATACCTTACATCGAAGAGATCGTTTCAATCACTCACTCACAATCGCATTATAGATGTCTACAACATGCAGCTTAGCACTAAACCAGCGGAGGAACTTGCCCAGCTGCTTGTCGATGGCAGTAAGGGAGCGTTCGAGCTCGCGGTATTTTTTTCTGGAGGTACGAATGTTTGTTATTAAATTCGTTGGAGGCTGACGAACTGTTGAACAAAGGCTCTGAGGCTATGGAAGGCGCCATAAAGCTAGGACGCCAGGTAAGTTTTATTCCCTTTTGTTCTGCTTATTTGTGCGGTCTCACTGATTTTCATACTGTCGTCATTCCCTAGTATTATTATGAAACAGGACAGCCTCAGCGCACAAACTTCATTGCTCGCAAGCTATCTTTCCATGGAAACACGACCAGTACATTGTCTCTAGCCTACCACCCCGCTCGTCGAGCGCCGTATGCAGCAATCCTAGACGAGAAAAACTTCCATCATGTTTCTCCTGCCTACGCAAAACGCTTCCAAAAGCCTGATGAAACAGAAGAACAATATGTAGAGCGATTGCGACAGGAGCTAGAAAATAAATTCATCGAGTTAGGGCCTAACACTGTCATTGGCTGTGAGTGTCGCTATATTTTGAAGATGAGCTTCTCTGACATCCCTATCTCCCAGTCGCTGCGGAGACTGTTGTAGGAGCTACCACGGGTGTCGTTCCGGCTCCCAAAGGCTACTTCAAAGCAATGAAATCCGTTTGCGACAAATATGGCGCCCTGTTCATTTTGGATGAGGTCATGAGCGGAATGGGACGTGAGTTTAAGCCTTCCCTCTCATTGCAAAAATTATCTTACTGCATTTTGGTACAGGAATGGGCACGTTACACGCTTGGGAGAGTTTCGGAGATGGTGTAGCACCGGATATCCAAGCCGTAGCCAAAGGACTCGGAGGAGGGTGAATGATACCTAATTTTACTGTCTTCGCTTGTTGATTATTTTATGGAACAGATATGCATCGATTGGCGCCGTGCTTATGTCCAAAAAGGTTGCGCGGGGTATTCAAGAAAACTCCGGTCTATTGAAGCATGGCCACACCTACCAGGCAAGTAGATTGTTATAAATTCATATGGAAGTGCTATAGCTAATTTATCCCCATATCTCAGGCCAATCCACTGTCGTGTGCTGCTTCGCTGGCGGTGCAAAAGGTTATTGCCGAAGAAGATCTTCTGAAGAATATCAACATCCAGGGCAAGTTATTGGAGAGGCGCTTGAGAGAGCGCTTACAATCGCCGAATGCTTTGGCAGCCCCTTACACATTTGATATTCGCGGTGGAGGAGGATTCTGGGCGGTCGAGTTTGACTTTGATGCTCCGGATGCTGCAGCGGTGGACTTGAAGGGACAACAATTTGCAATGGTAACGCAGGCTCGTTGTTTTGAAAAGGGGCTTATTATGATGGGAATGACGGGGGGCGCGAACTTGGAGGGAACCAAGGGAGACCACTGCATGTTTGCACCGGCATACAACGTCACGAGCGAGGAGATTGAGACGATTGTTGGAATATTTGTGGAGAGTGTTGAGGAGGTGTTGAGAGAATCGATTGTTTGATGAGACTCGGAATAGTCGCTGTAAATGTATTGTATTCTGTATAGTCAGTGATGCTTGGTGCCACAGCTATTGAAATGTTCTCACGGGTTCGGCACGCAGGAGTCCGTCTGGGGAGAGACGCTTAGAGAGGACACAGGCCAGGATCTCGCTCTCTTCCTTACCACATACTGTCCCCCCATTCTCTGATCTCAACTGGAATCGATGGCTGGGAGCATGCTCTAAATGGACTTACAACCTTTCCATCATCAAGAAGCCACTAGCTCCAGTACATTTTCGCAGCCACCGCTATATCAACAATCAGAATCGTCGCCTGAAAACACTTCTCCCCCACCTTCCACAGAACTAAAGCCTCTGCGCTCAAGTGCAAGAGTCAAAGCAGCGAAGCAGAAGGAACACGACAAAGACAAGGCTTCCAAGGAATCTGACTCAGCAGAACAGCCTTCCGCGGCGTCCTCTGACCCTCCTCGTGTTACTCGCTCGACAAGCCAATCCTCCAAAAATAAGCGCTCCAGGGAATCCCTCATAGACAAGGGAAAAGCAAGAGAAACTATTGACGAATTCCCCCCTCGTGCTAGCAAAAGGTATGTCCCTAAAACCGCAGTGTTAGCGCCAACCACCATCTTATACGTTGTTACAGGGCACGCCGCGCAACCATCTCCACTATTCCCTCTTCTTCGCTTATTATTGACGAACCGACCAAAGACACCAAAGGCAAAAAGCGCGCCGCTCCCGAAGGTACATCAGAAGAGGAGAGCACCATCGCCACCGTAGATTCTTCTTCTAGTAAACGCATCAGATCTACCGCCTACTCCCTCCGTTCAAGAACCGAAATTAATTCACCCTCTCCTTCGAACATGACTAGGAAGACAAAGTATGCATCTTCATCCATAAAATGCCTCCAATACTGACTATCCTGTTAGACCCTCCGTCTCTAAAGGTAAAATAGCGGCGAAAAGTAAGGGAGCTGTACCTGCAGGTTCATCTAGAGTGGTCGATGATGACGTCGAGATGATGGATGTCGAAGGATATAGAAACGAGGGCTCTGATTTCGAGGACCAGATGGAAGGTTGCGACGACGACGACATTGAGGATCATGAAGGTAATGATGGAGATGCGAACGAACAGGGGAATGATCAACGAGAAGGCCTTCGTGCCGAAGGCGAGGATAGCAGTCCTCCCGTTGGAGCCCGTGGATTTGGTGGCTTGGATGAGCCTACGGCAATGGCTATCTTTGGTGATTATCGCCAATTTGGCTCGTATATGATGTCTCTTTCTGGACGCCTCAAGACTATGCTAAATAACATCAAGTCCACCGCAAACCCTACTACTCGACTTGTTACCTTGCAGGAACTCAGTGAATTACTCAGTATTAGCACTGAGGATACTTTGGCGGGTTCATTTCAAGTGGAACAATTTGTGAAAGAATTGGTCAAGATTCTAGGAGGTCGTGGTGTCGATGGAGATGATGACGACGAGGGAGGTGAGGATGTCGAAGAACGTGACGAAGATGCTGCCCTCGCAGCTGCCCTGGCCCTTAGTGCCGGAGGCGCCACTTATCAGGGGGATGAAAACCTGGAAGCGCAAGTGTTAGCTTGCCGATGCTTGGCGAACTTGATGGAGGCTCTGCCTGGCGTCGCGCATACTGTCGTTTATCACGGCGCTATTCCAGTTCTGTGCCATAAACTAATTGAAATATCATATATCGATCTAGCAGAACAAACATTGAGCGTATGTTCTTTTTATCCTTTTCATGGACCCGTCAATGATCCTAATATCCACCATTCATAGACTCTAGAGAAAATCTCCGAAGAATTTCCTAGCTCTATTGTCCGAGAGGGTGGTTTGTCGGCCTTGCTGAATTACCTCGACTTCTTCTCGATTGCTGTGCAACGAACCGCACTACAAGCTGCTTCCAACTGCTGTCGAAATGTGTCTGCTGAACAATTTCCCATGATTCGTGGCGTTTGGCCCATTATCCGTAACTGCTTGGGATATGCTGACCAGCGGTTGGTGGATTATGCGTGTTTGTGTGTAATCCGCGTCATCGATTCTTACTATCGCACTGCAACGGAGAACCTTGAGAGTCTCCTTGATAAAGACACGATCAAGGCCATCAACTCTCTTCTAATGCCTGCTGGTGGATCCCCGTTGGTTCCAGCTAATACTTATACACTTCTGGTCCGTGCCTTGGCGACAGCTGCTCGTGCCAGCCCCAAGATCACGGTTACCTTACTTCAAGCGGATATTGTTGGAACCCTCTACCAAATTTTGACAGGTGTTCTACCGTCTGCATCGGAAGGGTGGGAAGAGCAAGGAGGTGTGAGTGGGGGTCAAGGCCTAGGGGGAGGGATGGCAGATATGACTGTAATGGAAAACCTTGCTAATCGTCCAAAAGACCAGATTGAAGAGGCGCTTGGTTTGGTGTCTGAACTCATGCCCCCGTTACCTAAAGGTATGCTGATTTCTTTACCTGTGTTTTGATAACCTTGTCTCATATCGTCTGGAAGATGGCGTTTTTGATCATAAAGCATATACTGATAAAGCACTTGCGAGAATGATCAAAGCGAAAGCTAAAGCAGACAGGGCAGCTGCGCGTCAGTTAGCTGCCGCTGCCGCAGGCTTTCCCGTTTCATCATCTGCAACTGCAGCTTCCACTCCAGCCTCTGTGCAAGGTGCCTCCGCGTCGGAATCTCATCAAGAGGCAAGCGTGGGAGAATCTCACGTTCAAGAGGTGGACGAGACAGGTGCAATCAATCCCCCTGCTGAGCAGACTGTAGATCGGACAGAATTACTTCGTTCTCAACCAGAAGTTGTCGGACGATTCATGCAATTAATTGTTCCTATTTTGATAGACGTCTATGCGGCTAGTGTTAGTACTCCCGTGCGGGTCAAGACTCTCACAGGACTGCTAAAAGCTGTCGGTTTCCTTGAAGGGGATGCCCTCAGACGAGTATTCAATGTATATCATATTTTATGCATTTTTGGTTTCAGTCACCTAACTTATTGCTGTTGTTTCAGTTTGTTCCAGTCGCTAGCTTTGCTTCGTCGATATTGTCTTCAAAGGATCACCCTTCTTTAGTCATAGGGGCTCTGCAGCTCGTCGACCTCCTTCTCACGAAGGTTTCCACAGATTTCAAACCAGAATTTCGCAGGGAGGGAGTATTCCACGAAATAGAGCAGTATTCCGCAAGACCACTCAACTCAACAAAATCTAAAGACAAAGATAAGGACAAGGACTTGTCGGACGCACCTTCACCAGCGGATACGGGCAACATCCCAATCCATACTTCTGCCACCGTCAGCTCAGCATCAGTGATACCTGGCTTCAAGAAACTGTCTTCATTGTCTCTTGACCCGGACGATGCTATCACCCTACGTGCCCGTGTCATCAGCTTCAAGCATCTCTCAGCTTACGAACAAGAACATGGTGATAACGCTTTCGAAGCCCTACGGCTTTCAATGGAGCAACTTTCGGCTCCAAATGCGTCCGAACAATCCCTGCGTGTTACGTTGAGTGAGCTCGCGGATCTTTTTGCATCTCCGCGAACTTCCGTCTCCAGCTTTGAGTTACTGCAAAGCGGCGCTGTAGATGGGCTTTTACAATTCACAACTGATCCTGAACGAAGCAGTGAGTTCTTTTATATTTTATTTTTTGGTATATCGCTTCACGAGCTAGTAACAGTCAGCGTCAAGAAGAGGCAGGAACTACTGTATGATGCCTTCACTTCGCGTAAAAGTAGAGGGACTGGGACAGTCGAAACCCCCTTTGCAATGTTTGTAAGGAAGCTTCAGGAGAGTCTTACAAGGATGGAATGCTTTGAAGTCGTTACTATTACTCAGGGCATCGATGGTTAGTCGGTTACAAATTACATAATTATTTGTGCTGATTCACCCCACTCAGATTCCAAACGTAGCTCGCCATCCTTACTTGCTAGGCAACTTCGTCTGAGGTTGACCGCTGAAGATGACTCTGACATCCCTCGTAACTTGCACAACATCGTCGTCTCGATTCATGCTATTGCGACGTTCCAGGCTCTAAATGATTACCTTCGTCCTAGAGTAGCTGGACTTATGCCTAGCGGTCGATTGTCTGGCATGCTCGCAGCATTAGCTGCATCTGGTTTTGGACCCGCATCTTCATCACGGGCTCCAGTAGAAGGTCAAAAACAGCCCATCAAGACTACACCTCCAGCTGCGGGTGAGGGCGGCGCTGGTGCTACTCCCGCAATTGAACGTAGGCGTAGCCTCCGCCTCAGCGCGAAAAATGGCAAAAACGAAGATGTTTCTGGCACAGCAGGCACAGAGGCTTCAGGGGATACAAGTCAGCAAGAAGCCCAAAGTTCCGCGGCTGCTGTAGCTCCAACTATCGAAAGTTCTCCCCCTAGTTCAGCCTTGCCGTCTTTAGCCAGCCTGTCAAATGACCCACTTGTACATGAGAGTGGATATGCGGCCGAGTTTACTGACGACGAAGTGGATGCTGAGGTAATATTTCAAATAGGGCACTCATAGAATATCTTTCTGATACTCATCCACAGGTTTTTGATGAGGATGATGATGGCGATCACCCCGCGGAAAAAACTGTTACATTGTCCATTGCTCCTGGTGAGTTCTGCATAGATGTCAGGTATACCAACTAGGTTAATTATCCCTTCCAGATGGGACCAATATAGAGGCTCAGACCCCCGAAGGCACAAGAGTTGCGACCCCCAATTCATCCAAAGACACGCATACCATCAGCACGTCTCGCCAAGCACTTTCTAATCGAACATCGTACGCTGCTGCCCTGAAGGCTAAACCTTCGGATTGGCATCTTGAGTTTTCTATGGACGACCATGCACTTCCGTTGGATCTAACAATATACGGTGCCATTCATCAGCATGAAGCCCGCAAGAAGCAAGGAGCAGTTCCATCAAGTTTAATTTGGCAGGGTGTATACACAGTGAAATTCAAGAAAGTGACAGGGCCACCGCCTGAAAGTATGTAGTTTCTAGCTCATATTTATAATATCCGCTAATTATTTGTAATAAGATGACTCATTCAAAAACCGGTCGCCTAGCCCAGCATTCTCGTCTCTACCAGAAGATGCCCCTCATACCAAAATACTTCGTCTTCTTCGTGTCTTGCACAAGCTGAACGGCTCATATGTTGAAGGGCCGCTATCATCTCTAACTGAGAGGCGAAGTTTATCCGAGGCCACTTTCATCAATAATAAGCTTACCGCAAAACTCACTCGCCAATTAGAAGAGCCGATGATTGTGGCTAGGTGTGTAAATTCTGTAATATGCTATCGTACATGCTCCCTGACACTTCGTAATCATGATAGCTCGTGTTTGCCGGATTGGGCAATAGATCTACCGCAAAACTTCCCGTTCCTCTTCCCATTCGCTACTCGCTATAACTTCTTGCAGTCAACGTCATTTGGTTATGCTCGTCTGATTTTGAAATGGCAGAGCCAGCAACATCGTGGGCAAGATAGTTCTCGGCGTGACGAAGGTATTGGCTTCCTAGGCCGTTTGCAGCGTCAGAAAGTTCGAATTTCGCGCAAGCATATCCTTGAGTCAGCAGTCAAGGTATTCGAACTGTATGGGTCTTCGTCTTCAGTCTTGGAAGTGGAATATTTCGAGGAAGTCGGTACAGGACTTGGTCCTACTCTGGAATTCTATTCTCTAGTGTCCAAAGAGTTTGCTAGACGGGACTTGAAGATCTGGCGTGATGCGGATCCCACTTATCCAGGCAATTATGTTCATCACCCTGCAGGACTTTACCCAGCTCCTATAAGTCCAGATGATATCGCCAATGATGGTGGACAGTAAGTTGAATCTTGTGGTACATCCTATATGATCTAATTTGTTACACCTCTTCAGAAAACGAACCCATATATTCAGTGTCATCGGACAATTTTTGGCGAAGGCCATGTTGGATTCCAGGATTATTGACATTTCCTTCAACAAGATATTCGTGAAGCTCGTTCTGGGAGAAGAAGTCCCTGTGACTATTGCAACTTTAAAGGTAATTCACTTCTTTACTCTATCTTGGGCCAACATATAACAATGCATCAGCTGGTAGACAGTGAGTTGGCGAATTCCCTCCACAAACTACAAGACCTTGCATCTTTGAGCGGCCCTACTGCAAAGGTAAATCGTATCATTCTGAAGCCATAGTCGTAACCCTGATCGTTCTCACTCTTCTATCAGGGTATGGCATTAGATACCGTCCATATCGAGGACCTCGCGCTGGATTTCACTATCCCCGGCTATGACATAGAGCTGCGGGTATGTAGTCACTCTGTTTTGTTTTATTTAAATTTACATGTTTTCCAGCCCGACGGTCGTAATATGCAAGTAACTTCGGACAATGCACACGAATATATTCACGAGGTCCTGGAAGCTATTGTCGGAAAAGGTGTACAGCTTCAAGCCAAGGCCTTCCGAGAAGGATTCTCTAAAGTGTTCCCTATATCGGATCTTCAGACGTTCTCTCCAGATGAGCTAGTGATGCTATTCGGCAATTCTGACGAAGACTGGAGTATAGAGAGTAAGTGGCTTATTCTTGTGCACATATATTGGGATATTGAGATACTGTGTTCAGCCTTGAGTGAATCTATCAAAGCTGATCATGGATTCAACGTTGAAAGTCGTGCAATCCGTGACCTCATTGAACTCATGTCAGAGTTCGATGCTACGACCCGTCGTGATTATCTTCAGTTTATTACAGGTAGCCCGAAGTTGCCTATTGGAGGTGCGTTTCATACTCAGCGGCTCTTTTTGAAGTATCTGAACAAACCTTCTTAACTTCGTTTCAGGTTTCCGTGGTCTGAATCCTCCTTTCACTGTCGTTCGCAAACCTCATGAAGCTCCCCTCACTGCGGATCATTACCTTCCCAGTGTGATGACCTGCGTGAATTATCTCAAGCTGCCTGAGTACAGCTCGAAGAAAGTGATGAGGGAGAAGGTGTACACCGCTATGAAGGAAGGGGTTGGCAGTTTCCACCTTTCTTGAGATGATTTTGCAACGACTATTGACTCACCACTGTATTACCGTTTTCTTCATGTCCTGTGCTTTACCAAACATGTTCATTAGAGTGCAATCGAGTCCGTTTGATTATACTTTGTAGCGCATTAAGACTAGGCCCATCTTAGCGATTCGGTTTCGCTACCAGTGATAAATATGACCAAGTACGCCCTCAAGAAAGGTCTGGTTGATATATTCAACTTTCAACGGTGACCAGTCTCCAAAACGCCACGATCAGGCCGAAGATGGTTTAGAAACGCAATCGGTAGGAGATCTTCGATATAATGGTGGCAATGACATATAAGACATCGACTCGTAGACGTGCATAGCTGTGATTCCTGCCAGCTTCAAGCTGGAAAGATGGGATGCAATATATACGTTGAAGTGAACATACTAGCATGAACCTAGGCTGTATACTGAGAACAATTCGCTAGTACTACGTGTGCTATCCAATAATTTCTGTCTATATAATTTTTATCATTTTTCTTCCCGGGCCCTAGTTAGAGTTGATATATTATTTGTACGGAACAGGACATACCTCCTGCCATCGTCTATAACGATGTTGATAATTTTTTTTTGATTCGAAAGTCTGATACCAGTGTTCCTGGACCTCTTTGTCAACGCCCAACGATGTAAAGTATTACGAAAGAGCGCGTCGCAAGATGACAAGAAATACTCCAAACCCAATTGAAACTGATCGGATTTGTGGTGTAGTTCATCGTGACATTGGCTAAATTTTATTATTGCCGCTGTGATGCCATAAGCCGGCAGCCTTTTCCAGATGAGGCTCACTGGAGCGTGACCTCACTCCGGACAGGCCACAGTTTGAACTTGGAGTCAAACGTCGAACTTCATCATCGGCTTTACATTATTAAACCATCGTTTATTTCGTGATTAACTTGTCAATAATGGTTTCATCAAGGTGGATTCCTCTCGAAAGCAACCCAGAGGTACAGTACTATTCCATACATTCGTGCTTGGTATAAGGGTGATAACAGCTATCCCCAGGTCCTTAACTCGGTGAGCTTCCAATGCATCCTCTAATGTCATCGAGTCGTGTTTAATAGTAGTGGCACAGTGGGCCAATGCTGCTGGCCTAGTATCTTCACAAGCACAGTTCGAAGATGTCTATGGGCTTGATTCCGAGGTAACACACAAATTTTTGATCTCGTTATAAACCCTAAATACATCAACGCGTCTAGTTACTTGAAATGGTCTCCGGACCTGTGAAAGCCGTTGTTCTACTCTTTCCTAGCTATACTGCCTTCCAAAACAAGAGAAAGGAAGAAGATGCTCGTATTGCGTCGGAGGGGCAACATCCGATTGACCCTACGGTGATGTGGATCAAGCAAACTGTGAGTTGTGGAATTTACATTTCATTTAAAAGCTCATAAACCTCTCAGATTTCGAATGCTTGTGGCACGATCGGTCTACTACATGCGCTGTGTAACGTTAGTTTATGAAACTTACACTTACTGCAGACTGATGACATAGACTTATCAGTCTGATGTTACATTCGCCCCTGAAAGTCCACTCGCAAAGTTCATCGAGGAATGCCAAGGTGCGTGGACAAATGATCAGAACAATTTTTTTTGGCTTCTGATTAAGGGCTACAAAGATAAATCTCCTTTGGAGCGGGCAAAGATTCTGGAGACGACACCCCTTTTTGCACAAATTCACGAAGAAGCAGCTTCCTCGGGCCAAACCGCAGTCCCTGATAACCTTGACACAGATCTTCATTTCACATGTTTTATTCAAGCACCAGATGCTATTGCCAGGGAAACAGAAACGCCGACGAAGTCGATGCGGTTGATTGAGTTGGATGGAATGCGAGATGGCCCTGTTGACAGGGGCGAATGCAAGGATCTGTTGAAGGTGTGTAGTTCGTTGTAGTCATGCTGTCTCTTCTCGCACAACTTAACTCGTTTGGCATCAGGATGTGGCAGAGATAGTAAAGGAGGTATTTGTTGCCCAGTCTTCCAGCATGTATTTCAGTATGATGGCGCTGGGTCCGCCACCAGGGAGTGAGCCAACCTTATGAAAGTGGCGATGCACACAAATTTTTCCAGTGTACGACAGCCGTGTAGCAACATTGTATCAGTAATGTGTAGCAATGAATCTTCGTGTCCTGTGTAACATAACGTCGTGTCAGGCTGAGTCACTGGTATCATAATGATCATGATGCAGTGTACATGTCGGACCGCCTTTACGTAAATGAGATCAACTGATTTGTCACTCAAACACTGTGATTACGAAGACTCGGATTTGACGCGCTCTATAAATTTGAGTCTGTGAAAGGTTACCACCATTTTCGCAAGGAATGGCGACTTGTCTGGACTCGGAGGGCTGGCACATCGTGTCCCAGCAAAGAGAGTTCGATCTTACTCCATGTGTGGAGGAAGGCGTGCTTCTGCCTTCCATTCTTGCTATTCTTCTGATCTTCGCCATTTGGAGATCATGGTCTTTGTCGTCACTGCAAAAACATGAAATCACCGCCCGCAGTCTCAAGGTCCTTGGTATCAAACTAGTAAGGGTTTTTTTTTTGCATCATTTCAGTCTTTTGACTCGTACTTACCTGCACACAGGGAGTATTGGCTTTAGCCTGTCTCACGAGCTGCGCTGTCCTTATCTATGTCTTGCTTTCCACTTACCAAGTGCCAATACTACTGCCGTATATTCTGGAGCCTTCAGCATTATTCGTCGCTATCATTCTCACATACTACAATCATCTTCACACGAGATCAGCCTCCTCGGTCTTACTGCTGTTCTGGCCCTTTTACGTTCTCGGCCTCGCAGTATGGGCTAGAACCTTAATGTTAAATGGCACCTCCGAAACTACGCATATATTGGTCTCCGTGCGATCTGCGACTGTTTTTTTGGGATTAGTATCCTTTATTCTAGAAACATTTGGCCCCGAAAGCGCTGAGAAAGGGTCTCATGATAGTCCTCTCGTCTCTGCCAACATATTCAGTATATGGTCTTTCTCCTGGATGACACCCCTCATGAAGAAAGGTGCTCAGACGTACATAACAGAAGATGACCTGCCATCGTTGGTTCCGGGAGACGAATCTGATAAACTTGGCAAGGACTTGGAGAAGGCGTTGGCAAAACAGTAAATCCTCAGTCCATTCCTATTTTGTCCAAATCACTTACATAGAACCTAGTTCGTCACTGTGGATAGCCTTGTTTTCCGCTTATGGAGGGCCTTACCTTTTTGCCGCTGGCTTGAAAGTCATTCAAGATCTCCTTGCGTTCCTCCAGCCTCAGCTTCTCCGATGGTTGCTGGCATACATATCGGCATATCAGAGCTCTAGAGGTGGCCCTTCTTTAGATCCATCTTCTGCCCCGAGCCGGTTGGAAGGTTTTGCCATTGCCACCATCATGTTCATCGCGGCCATAGTTCAAACCATAGTTTTGCACCAGGTACAAACCTTAACGCTAATTTTAACATCCTTTAGCTGACGTCCTGGTAACAGTATTTCCAACGATGCTTCGAAACTGGTATGCGCGTTCGTGCTGGCCTTGTCACAGTCATATTCCAAAAGGCACTCGTTCTTTCCAACGATGGACGGGGACGTGCATCAGGTGATATCGTTAACCTGATGTCCGTTGATACTGCAAGGTTACAAGACCTATGTACCTATGGTCTTATAGCTATATCAGGACCCCTTCAGGTGCAGTTTTATCTAAATATGATTTAATTCACCAGTGTTGATCATTTTGTAGATTGTTCTTGCATTTATGTCTTTGTACAATCTTCTAGGATGGTCTGCCTTTGTGGGAGTCGCTATTATGGTTGTATCCATCCCGCTCAATACTGCTATCGCACGATTACTCAGGACAATGCAAGAACAACAAATGAAAAATCGCGACCAACGAACACGACTAATGAGTGAGCTTTTGGCAAACATAAAAAGGTGCGTCGTCTTGTGATAGACGTATGCATCGTCGTCTAAAGTTTCACTTTCGCAGTATTAAACTATATGCATGGGAATTTACGTTTATCCGACGTATCTTGTTCGTCCGTAATGATCTTGAGATGAAAATGCTGAAGAAAATTGGTATCACCACTGTACGTAAAAGCGTTCTTTCTATCATCATAAGTTGCGAAATATTCATATTATTTAATCAACTTAGGCCTTGAATACAACTTTGTGGACGGGTATCCCATGTTTGTCGTTTATTTTTCCTTCGGCAATTGTTTCCTGATGCATTATCAACAGTATTGGTCGCTTTCAGTTCTTTCGCTACGGCCGCTGTGATGTCCTCAAAACCCCTGACAGCAGATATTATATTCCCCGCTATTTCCTTGTTCATGTTACTTCAGTTCCCTCTTGCTATGGTGAGTTGTCGTTTGTTCCTCATGGTCCTTGTCTGACTCTGCCTTAGTTTAGTCAAGTGACCTCCAATATAATTGAGGCTCTTGTTTCCGTGACACGCCTGTCGGAATTTTTGCGTGCAGATGAACTGCAATCCGATGCTCTGATCAGAGTACCGAAGGAAGTTCTGCAGGCTGGTGATGAGGTCCGTCACTTTGAATCGTTCCTTGTGTATCATAACTTATAGAAAACGTGTAACGTTTGCAGATACTCTCCATCAAGCATGGAGAGTTCAAATGGTCAAAGCAAACGAACGACCCGCCAACCTTGGAGGATATCAACTTGACAGTGAGAAAGGGTGAACTTGTTGGTATTGCTGGTCGTGTGGGATCGGGAAAGGTATTTTTATAATGCTTTCATGATATGTCAATAGAAGCTGACATCTTGTGCAGACTAGCCTTTTGTCTGCCATCATCGGCGACATGAGGAGAACGGAGGGTGAGGTCACACTCTATGGCTGCGTTTCATATGCTCCGCAGAATCCTTGGTGCGTATTGATTGAAAGATATTCTCTGAATAGAGTTGGCTGATATGCGACCAACGCTAGGATACTATCTGCGTCTGTTCGTGATAATATATTGTTCTCGCACGAGTACGACGAAGCTTTCTACAATTTAGTGATTGATGGTGTGGCACATTTTTTTTTATTGCATTCCTCTACCTCGTTGAATAATCTATAATCAGCTTGCGCTCTCAGGCAAGATCTGTCTCTTCTCCCACAAGGCGATCTCACGGAAGTCGGCGAAAAAGGTGTGGTAAACTCCCATTTGATATACACATAATACTGAACTTCACCATGTAGGCATAAGTGTAAGATGATTTGTAGAAAGTGTCGTTTGCTTTTTATACTAAACTTTTATTCAGCTTAGCGGAGGGCAACGAGCACGAGTATCTTTAGCTCGTGCTGTATATGCTCGGGCTGATCTGTGAGTCTCGCATAGTCCCCCTTTGTGCAAATACCAAACATGACAATATGCTATGTCCAGCGTGTTATTAGACGATGTCTTAGCTGCTGTGGATTCCCATGTGGCTCGCCACGTATTCGGTATGTGATTTTTCGCTCCTTTGCTTATGGTCTAATGCGCTTATACTTCCATATAGAGAATGTTATCGGCCCTCAAGGTCTCTTAGCTAGCAAGTCCAGGATCTTGGTTACTAATAGCATATCATACCTCAAGCACTTCGATCGACTGGCCTACATACGTCGTGGCATCATTCTTGAGTGCGGTTCCTTCGATACTCTTATGGCTGACCCGGACAGTGAACTACGCAAATTAGTGTAAGAATTTACTTGATTACCTTGATTCAGAGATACTAACTAGCAACAGGCAAAACCACACGACAGGTTCTACTTCTGGATTTACTACTCCGGGCCATTCCAGTGGCATATCAACTCCTAAAGTTGAAAGTGATGACGATACCGAGCTCACAACGAGCTTGGAAATTGTCTCTGAAAAAGTGAAGCGTCGTGAAAGTTTCCGTAAAGCAGCCCTGGTCACGAATCTGTCGGCGCGGGCGTCAAGTGATGGGCCAACTAAAGAGCACAGTGAGCAGGGTAAAGTGAAAATGGAGATTTATTACCAATACCTGCAGGCTGCTTCAAAAAGAGGATTTTTCTTCTTTTTAATCGTGACCCTATTGCAGCAGGTGGTATCAGTACTAGGAAATATCATTTTGAGGCAATGGGGAGAGCACAATCGCGCTGTCGGGGACAATAGCGGGATGTTCAACTACCTCATGGGATATGGTCTGTTCTCGTTGGCTGGTATTCTATTTGGAGCAGTTGCGTCTGTTACGATATGGGTCTTCTGTTCCTTGAGAAGTGCTCGGTATCTCCACGATTCGGTGCGTTTATGTGACTCGTTCAAAGCTTGGTGATCAAACTAACGCTGGTTTTATGGCGGACTCAGATGTTAGGCTCTGTTATGCGTGCCCCATTAAGCTTCTTTGAGACGACGCCGACTGGAAGGTAAGTGTACCATCTTTCTTTCATGTCTGCATGGGGACTCAACTTCTACTTTTATATAGAATCCTCAATCTGTTCTCTCGCGACACTTACGTTGTCGATCAAATAATTGCTCGAGTCAGTTTCATCTGATTGCCTGCTTATTTTCTGTTGACTTGTCGCTCCAGATGATTCAAAATCTTGTTCGCACTGCCGCTGTATGTGTGTCGATTGTTGTCGTAATTGGGTTCAGTTTCCCACCATTTTTGCTGGTGGTCCCTCCTCTCGGATGGTTCTATAGTAGAGTCATGATGTACGTCCGCTGCATCAACAACTTCACACAATTCCTGACAGGCTATTGCAGATATTATCTTTCGACTTCCCGTGAGTTGAAACGGCTTGATGCCGTCTCTCGATCGCCCATCTTCGCCTGGTTCTCCGAGTCACTGGCGGGCCTATCCACAATTCGTGCCTACAATCAGCAACCCATTTTCATTGCTAATAATGCGCGGAGGATTGACCGCAACCAGATGTGCTATGTACCAAGCATATCTGTCAATCGCTGGTTAGCTGTGCGGCTCGAATTCGTCGGCGCTATCATTTTATATTCCAGTGCACTGTTGGCTGTCACTGCGCTGGTGACGACAGGGGTAGATGCAGGTTTGGTCGGATTGGTATTGTCTTATGCATTGAATACAACCAGTTCTCTGGTAAGCTCTCGTTATTTTGGACAACTCTCTGGCACCTGTAATAATTGCTCTTTAGAATTGGGTTGTGAGAGCCGCAAGCGAGGTGGAACAAAATATTGTCAGCGTCGAGCGCATCTTGCATTACGTCACAGATTTATCCCCGGAAGCACCTCACGAAATACCCGACCAAAAGCCTGCCAGTGAGTGGCCCCAACACGGAGCAGTAGAGTTCAGGTATGTTGCTTATGCCTAATCACAGTTGAATGGGAGTCCTTATCTATGGTCAATTCAGTCAATATTCGACGAAGTACCGGCCTGAGCTGGACTTGGTGTTGAAGGATATCTCAGTGTCCATCGTTTGTCTACTTTTTCTCCTTCCCCCTATTTTGTCTGACCATGTTTATCTCAGAAACCGAAGGAGAAGATCGGAATATGTGGTAGAACCGGCGCTGGAAAATCATCCGTAAGTCAATGACAATGTTATGTACTGCTTCCACTAACTTTTTATACGCAGTTACTCCTCGCGTTGTTCCGGATCATTGAGCCCACTTCTGGTACCATTTATATTGATGGAGTCGATATCACGAAGATGGGATTACATGACTGTCAGTTTTTTCAACATCTCAGCTGTGTTGCTGCCTTCTAACGTACACTTGTGATATACAGTGCGATCAGTTATTTCGATTGTTCCGCAAAGCCCTGATTTGTTCGAAGGAACCTTGAGAGAAAATATCGATCCAGTGGGCGAACACCAAGATGCCGACATTTGGATGGCTTTGGATCAGGCTAGTTTTGGTGTATCTTAGCTCTTTGCATCATTGCTCATTCATCGGCATATAGGCTCATTTGAAACTTTACGTGGAAGGTCTCCCAATGGGACTCGATTCTCCCGTCAAAGAAGGAGGGTCCTCTCTCTCCTCGGGGCAAAGACAGTTAATCTGCTTTGCCAGAGCGTTGTTGCGCAAGGTTTGTACTTTCTTAGTGTACCTCTATTTTCACGTCACATTGACAACATTTAAATAGTCTAAAATTCTGGTGCTTGATGAAGGTAAGGCTGATTAGCTACTCTTTAATTGACGTGTGGTCTGATCATGTTTATTAGCCACCTCTGCTGTCGACCTAGACACGGACAGAGCAATCCAGGACATTATTCGTGGACCACTCTTCAATGACGTGACCATACTCACGATTGCGTATGTTATTCAGTTACATTCGACACACTGTCTGGTCATTAATACTTGCACATTCTCAGGCATCGATTGAACACTATCATCGAATCGGACCGAGTGTTGGTCCTTGATACAGGAAAGGTTAGCGCAGCTTTGACCCCTCTCGAAGCCTTTTATTGAAACATATTTTAGATTGCCGAATTCGACTCTCCTGAAAATCTGCTGAAGGATAACACCTCCATCTTCTACTCATTGGCCAACGAAGCAGGCCTCACCCAAGGACGGGAAACCGAAACAACAGAGTCGTAAAGACTCGAGAGTTCAATTTACTGTTTATCAATATCAATTACACATGATGTACATACCACATAGACATATCTATTTCCAGACGGCCCCTTAGTGAGGCCGATGAATTATTTAACATAAAATATCATACTTGACAGCGACGGGGTATACGTAAATTCCGACTGGAGTTTTGTTTGTCAGTGTTCTCATACGCAAGGTGACATTGACTCGGAAGCTTGAAGCTGCAACCAGCCTGAGCGACCCCGCAAATGCGTTAGACTCGGCTTTGATCCCATCTTTATTGTCAATTCCAAGTTCAACGGTGTCGTTCATGTACTTGTACGTGCAATGAACGCGATATTACTGAAACCTCTAAACGAATTTCAAACTCTTTCTCAAACTCTCTTCGCCTCTTTTTGTGCCCCTCAGACTAAACCACCACCTGCACCATCTGCACAGGCGTTCCTTGAATGTGATGCCACTCTAGCCGACGCGCTGAAACTCGCGCTCGTTCACCAAAGAAAGCAGAGACGAATCGAAAAGATTAAAAATGAAATTCTGACACTGGAGTTGACATGGAGAGAGATATGTGCTCAGCTAGAGCTAGGGAAAAGAGACCTGGAGACTGTGATTGATGGAGGCGATGAGCGTATCAAGGCCATAGAGGAAGCTAAGAAAGGTCGGTCCTGTTCTGCATGGCAGGTTTACATTGCTAACCCGAGCTACAGCTTCAATACCCTATCCCGAACTACTCGCATACGCACAGAGTCTCAGCGCCTTCACGTCCGCACCTCCCAATATGCCTGACTTCTCCGCCCCTGGCCCGGGCCAGCCTCCTCCTTCCTTGTTCTTTCCGCCCTTCCCGAACGAGGAGAAGATGCGTCGCGGGAGGCTCAATGCAGAGGCACCTTTGGGCCAGCTTGGCGAGACTCACTCGGTCGGAAGGCGTAAGTTCTCTGCGATGAGTTTTGCTTGTATGACGACTGACGCTCATCACTGCTCTCAGCACCTACGATATCGCCCAGTGTTGCTGAGCCTTCACGCCAAATGGGACATGCTGCGAATCCCTATCGACAGGATCTTCGACCCCAAGACCAAATATATGACCTTGATCTCGACCTCAACCCAGATCTTTGAGGGGTGCAATTCGCTGATGTGCAGCTATCTTTGTACCGATGTATTCCCGGTATTGCACACTGTATTGATAAGTTGATGTTGCCAATATGCTTCAAAGCCAATCAATGGCGGGCTAGTTAGATTGATGAGGGCTGTGTAAAACTATGACATCCGTGGAACGTATCTGTAGGTATTAAGCAATAATGTACGGGTAACTAGCATAATAATAAATCCAAAATAGCGGTGAAATAACCTCTCAAGTTCCCTTGTCAGTGCTGGACTCTGCCATGGCTGTTAATCCGCCGTCACCTGACTTTGAACGACGTGTGCGTAGAGAGAAATTTCTGCTGAACACAAAACTTCGAGAGCGCCGTGGAGCTTTAATCTGTACTTTCTCTGAAGCATAACGTTTCCCAAAGACCTCCAACTGGCGTCTGAAGCCAATGTTGGGACAAACAATTCCGCGCTTCGCTTTTACAAATGCGACCGCCTCAGTGGGATGCATGCTGGTGGTAGCCACCAAATAGGCGCAGACTACAGTGGCGCTTCTGCTGATTCCCTGAAAACAGTGAACCTAGAGTGAAGATAGTTGGTATGACATGAGAGAACAAGTGAGAGGGTGAAAGTGAGCTTACGAGCACTTTATTGTCCTTGCTGTTCGCAAGGGCATTGTTGATGAATGCGGTGGTGATTTCCAGATGCTTTAGGATATCAGTTTCTGAAGTGTCTGCGATGGGGATGTGTAGTTTTCGCAGGTTGGGGAGAGAAGACGAAAAAGTGGGTGCGTGCTCAAGGACGGATATGACATGAGTTATGCCCAGTTTTGTGAGCTGCTCCTCGTCCTTGGCGGTGAAGAGGTCGGCGAGATAGAGACCTGGGACGATGAGGGTGGCTGTCCGACCATAAGTTGGGTCAGCATTGCGAGGTCTCCTTGTCTGAACAAGAAAAGTCTGCTGCCAGGAGGGAAAAGAGATCATGTAGAGAATGGGCTGAGAAAGAGCAAAGAGTCTCTATCAGGCGACCCTCGCTCTACGACCCAATCCACTCCCGTCAAAGAACTCTCTCCCTGATCATCATCACGTTCCGCCTTATCGGCAACTAGCGGGGTCACAGCCTCTGTGACACGCACGTGACTCTCTCCCAAGTCGCCGATAGCACGCTACCGCCTGGTTTAGAGTCTCTCCCTCATGTCCTACCTGGTACACACCGCTCGCCATCCACTACGCGTCCTTCCTCCTCAATGCTCCCTTCGCCATCTTCGTCCAAGTCCAGCACGCTCATTCCACACATCCCCGGTGGCTCGTGACTTTCACTTCGACACACACCACTTTGTGCAACGTCTAGAGCGCGAAGGTCTGAACCGTGCCCAGGCCGAAGGTATCATGTCTGCAATGGCAGAGGTGATAGACGAGAGCATAAGGAACATGACCAGCAATATGGTTACCAAAGCAGATCAAGAAAAGGTATGTTGCATGTCTCATCCTCAGCATTCACAGAAATACAGATCGTACCGCTTCTACATGGTCATATCGCTATAGCACCAATATACCCAACAAGTTGACTTTGCGCAAATCAAGTCCGAGCTTCAACTCATGGAGAAAAATGACCTTGCCATGATCAAAGCAGAGAACGACCGTCTCGTGACCGACATAGAGAAGCTCAAGCAGCGACTTCGTGAGGAAATCACCCGGACTCAAGCTGGTGTCCGGTTAGACTTGAATCTCGAGAAAGGAAGAATGCGTGAAGAGAGCAGTGGGCAGGAGTTAAAGATCAAAGAAGTTGATACTCGTATAGAACAGGAAATTGCCCACCTACGGACAGCAATACAAGCATCAAAGGTACGATCTCAATCCTCTTACTCGCGGATTATCTGATAGCGTCCCCCAGGCTACCACTTTGCAGTATCTTGTCGGATTTGGTATGTCCCTACCTTTATATTTGCTCGATTCATACAAACATATCTTCTATAGTGACAGGTTGTTCTGCACTGCTGATGGCGTACCTACGGTTTAGAGTTTAGACATTATATCACCCATAATTTGTAAGTACATATTGTCTAGATAAATCACCAACAAACTCACAGACATCTACAAGATAAATATGCAATGTAGATGATACACTATACTCTAATCTCGTCTTCTGTAGCCTTCCTTTCCATAACTTTCGATGCTCACGGGGGGTATAATCCTAATCATCCAGAGGGGGTAGAATATCACCAGCTATCCGTTCTCCCAAAGCAAGTCGCTTGAACTTCTCATAAGCGTTGTCAAGGTCGTCGTTGACGATAATATAATTGTGAACATCGGGTTCTCGGGCGTATTGGATTTCTTTCAGAGCAGCCCCGAGGCGCTTTTGAATAGCCTGCTCGCTATCGGTTGCGCGACCTTCAAGGCGAGCTCGAAGCGCAGTCATGTTGGGCGGAGAAATGAATACAAAAATAGGTTGTAGGTCGGTGTTTTTTATCTGCCTTACACCCTGTGGCGGTTTGAGTGATCAGCCGTCAAGAATATGGTGGGCTGGCAAGTACCTGAGCATCGATATCTAAAACGCATCGCCTTCCGCTGCGAGCAACGTCCCGAACGGTCTGGAAGCTGGTGCCATAGAAATTCCCGGAAAATTCAGCGTACTCGATGAATGCTCCGTCTTGGATGAGTTCTGTGAACTTGTCTCTCGTGATGAAGTGGTACTCTCTGCCGTCTGTCTCCCCAGGCCTTGGGGATCTCGTAGTATCTTGCTGTTCGCGTTAGGCTAAGATTACAATCGGAAAATGACTAGGTCGTACGAGAGACACTGAATCCGAAATTGTCTGGGAATTCTGAGAAGAGACGCTTTATAAGCGTGCCCTTGCCTACACCCGAGGGTCCTGAGACGACAAGGGGCAAGAGTTCAGTCAAGGGAGACATGGAAGACAATTCCTGAGGCCTGAGTGGATATATGCGTCCAGGTCTGAAATTGGTTACTTGATTGAGGACAGCTGGTGAGAAGGAAACTAATTTTGGGCGTGACACTC